TCTGGATTATTTATGACGCAAGAACAACGTCTGATTCTTGAACATCTTATTTTTATTTTGAGCCTTAATATCTGGAAACTGGCGTAGTAGGTCTTGGACGTTCCAAGCGACCATTCCAACGTAATTGTTCATAATTTCCAAAGTGTATCCTTCGCAACGGATGAAAGGGTAACCGCTATGCAGTCAGACTAATTCTTCGTGTCAGATATGACGCACCGCCGCGTCCACCGCGAAAGAAAGAAGAGAATCAGCATGCCCTGTGTTGTTCATCGCGGGCGCCGATTAACGAATGCATCTAGACTAATGTGTACCGGTTTACCTATTCGCGGAGGACGCATCATAACGATCGCGTCGTAGGTGGATCGCGACATCGCCGAGAATCGCACGCGCACGAGGTAGGGTAGGGAAAGGGGAGGGCCGCGTGCATAAACGTCGCGGGAAAGAAGAAGACCGGGCGGCCGGGCATAGAGGAGAAGAACTGGGACGCGTTTGCACGATTCGCCATATCCGGATAATTACCGCGCGACCGGTATGCCCGTTTGTAATCGCGCTTAACGTACGAATACGAACGTCGCGTCACTTGCATCACTTTTACTTGGCAGAACCACGCGTTCTTCGCGGCCTACCAGTAGCCGGCTCCATGCACCACCTCCCGTCGTCGTGAGAAAGAAAGACCGATAGGGAGAGAAAGACAAAAGCGTTCAAGGTCCAATATTCTCTATTAGCGATTATTATTGAACTAGGAGACACGGAACATCAATTTCGTTCTCTTTGTTCGTTGACCTGGACTATCGCAAAACAATAAGTAACATCGACCGAAAACCAGCCTTTCGCGCGATGTGTCCGAGTACACTCTGTATGTACCACAGTTATTGTTTAAAAAGGCCTTCGAGACCCAGCATTGTGAAACTTTGCGTTCTATTTTCTCACGGACGCTGATATAATCGAGTCGTTCCGAAGGTATTAACCTGACGCGTATTATTATAAAATCGATGTATCGTGAAATAATCGTCCACGTAACCGAAAAAACGCATCGGATGCTCAGGAAGGAGCACTGACGCAGTGATCTTTTCTTAACTTTCCAACTTTCACTAGAAAAACAATTGTTTCAATTTTTTTTCTTTTTTTTTACATTATATATACGTAATCCAATACTGAGCTTTTGCTGAGAACTTTTATGCACACGATCAAAGTCACACAAATAAGAGCTTTAATTTATTAGCGAGTTGGTGCAAATTGCAACCAGGCTCTACAGGCAGCTGTAGCCCTTTTTGTACAAACGAAGTGTTGTTCCTTTGATTTCAGGTATTATCGGAAAGAAATTTTCAAGAGGCACGACCACGAATGTTGTCGCGTCTTCACTGGCTGCAAACGGTAGCTCTCGGGCTTCTAACTGGGCTTTTATGGCTCGGTCTTCCCAGAACTGAAGCAGCCATTCACGATATCCAGGGGTGGATGTTCTTCAGCAACACGTACTGGATGCTTTTTGCACATTTTGGAGCGCTCACTAGCTGTGAGTTGAATTTAATTCTCATTTGCGCGCTTGTAACGCCGAAATTCCGTCACAAAGGCGAGGTATCCATTGTGCTGAGGCTAGACTGATTATCTCGACAATACCTGCATTAATTAGACACTTGGACGAAACGAAGTTACGATCTATCAAATTTGCGGCGAGCCAACAAAATAAATTTTAATTATACGGGAATGTAATTGTGTAGATTCTAAATTGACAGTTAAAAGCGTTTATTTGCGAATTAAGCTCAAAGTGCGTGCGATTATAAAAGCTCTCTTTTTCGACAAATAACATTTATTCCCTCGGAGCTTTTTAATTAATTTCAATTTTATTTCGAAATGTTTGAAAAAGCAGATGAAATTGATTGGGTAATTGGACTTTAGCGGCCATTAATGTGCTCAATCAACCATTCAGTAAGGCTTACTTTTTTTGTCGCAAAAGACCGGAGAATGTTCAATCAAGAATGTTAGCACGTGTGGCGTGCCGTGACCTAATATGTGTTCGGTGATAGAGGTCCTTAAATTCATATTTCTCTGATAGCTAGTGCGCAGACATAAATCTATAAGATAAAACAGACATACGTCCTTTTTCTTTTGCAAATAGACTTAAAATCATACTAGTATATATAATAATGATGAATTGAGACACTAGATGGAACGCGCATGTATTATGATCTGTATCAAATTTAATCAGATCTTATAATTAGACAAATCGTGATACCGCGACTTTGAGATTCGGAAATCCAGAGTTGAGCGGAAAACGGAAGAAATAAAACGCGGGAGCGCATTGACTATCGTATCGTGTAACTTCTTCAAAAGTATAGACCCACGAAAAATCGTTACTGGCGGTTGCGATCCAGTCATTTTACAGTCTGCCATTTCGCGGCAAGCGAGACACAGTCCAATGCGAAACGTTAACCGCGAGAGAGAAACGTTTCGCTCCTGATGGACTGGCTGTAAAACCAATTTTAACATCACCCCCGGCCCGTCATAAGCGACGTCCACTCTGCATGAATCCGGGCGCGGGGATGATTCTGAAAATAACGCGCGACGTTCTTCCAGTTCCCCCGGAGCGCGAGGTGATCAACAAGGAACGCATGTCAGGATCCTATCGGCTCTCGGCCTACTACCTGGCGAAGATGGTGGGCGAGCTGCCGCTGACGATAACGCTGCCCGCAGTCTACCATATAATTAGTTACCCGATGTTGGGCTTCCATAATATAGCGGTCTTCATCACACTGCTCGCGTTCTTGCTGCTCAACACTGTAGTCGCACAGGTACGCAATTTCCTATTCGATCGTTAGCCAATGTTAGATATTGGACAAATGGCCCGTTTATGTCATTTCGAAACAAAAACTTTGATTCAGTATAATAGGATTTTGATTCTGATTGACTTACGTATCAAATTATTCCGTTCAAAATCACGTCGAACTGATTGTGAATTCAAATTCGTTGCATGATGGCTAAATACACTACGCAAGATAATTCTACACAGGGATTAGCAAATGTCAGATTTTTATTGACATGTATCAATATGATGATATCAATATTGATTCGAGCAACGTTCGGATATCGGATTGAACTGAAATCCGCTAACGACTATCCTTCCGATAATTATATAATTAACCCTCTGGACGTAATATAATTTTCTCATTGTAATATCGGTCAATCAGATAATTTTTTCAATTTATTGCTCATGGAAAAACGATAAAACATTTAATTTTAGTCCTAAATACATTATATATAATTATAATCAATAATTATAATCAACTAATGCATTATGTATAATTATAATAAATAAAAATGAAGATTCTGTTGTTTTATATTTTTTAAATTTAAAAATTCGGGGCGAAGAAGGAAAGTAAATAAGAACAATTTTATTTATCGTCACTTTTACAAAAAAAATCAAATTATAATCAAATTGGACAATTAAAAAAATATAGCTATTTATCACTCGTAAAAAGTAATCTGATAAAAAGAAGCTATTTATCAATTTAATATAACGTTACCTAGATATCGAAGCTCAACATAAATGCAAGAATTACTCTGATTTGAAACCTATAAACGTAGTATAAGCAATATCTATTCTTCACACACAATGAAATATTCAATAGTCGTTTTGTTGAAAGTAATACATGTAACTGAGAATCGCGCAACCGTGTTTCATTACTATTTTTACATTATTAAAGAGCATTAAATATATATGAGCTTTAAAGCGCTCTCAGCTTATCTCGAGCCGAGATTGGAAATTTGCATGAAAATGCACGAGAGTATAATATATCTATCGGCCATTCTTGAAAGCTATCGACCAGGTGGAGAGAGGTGGCCGGTTATTCAACCGTTCGTAACATAAGTCGACTTTATTGCGTCCAGCTCTTCAATTTCATCGATGTTTCACAGAGTGTCGGATTCTTCGTGGGCGCCTGCTGCGAAGATCTGCAGGTGGGCATCACCGTGTCTGCGCTCTACACACTTTCGACACAGCTCCTAGGCGGTTATTTGGCGACGTCGGTCCCACCATGGCTGGCGTGGGCCAGATACATCAGCATGATGCATTATGCCTATCAGAATATGCAGATTCTGGAGTTCGGCGTCGGCGAACCGATCGCGTAAGACTATATCTTTTGTTTATTGTCACGTCTGTCTTTTCATATCGCGGTTGATAACAAAATTTTATCTCGAGCAAACGAACAGTTACTAACGAAAAGTTCAAGATTCACTTTCGAATAAAAAATCGAGAAAAAAATTGAACGAATCAGATGCAAACATCTGTAAATGACAAAAATTTCAGAAATAATAATTTAACGACAACACGTAGAATTTACAAGAAAATTATTCTTTTTCCAAAGGAGAATATTTAAGTACAGGAGAAACATAAAAATTAAAATTAAAATGTAATAAAATGTAGATATGCGCAATTGAAGTTTTGATCTTGGGTCAATTGAGTATTGATTGAATAATGTAAATCATGGATTATTAAATCCTAATATAAATAAATGAAAAATCCCCTCCTGAGCTATACTAATCGGGCAAATAATCTTTTGTATAACAGATGCTCTCAGCCAAGTAAATTCGCCGAGTGCAGAAACGGCACGACGATACCTGTTTCCGCGATTTTGGAGAGCCAAGGCGGGGTCAAAGGTTCTGGTCTACCATTGTGGGCGAACACGGCGGTGCTACTGGCGTTCCTAATCGTTTTCCGGACTCTGGGCTACCTCGTTCTGCGTTATTACCGTGTACCAAAATGAGCGTGTTGGGAGACACGCAAGTAGCACGCAAATTCTCGACACGACTCTTCGCGGATCTTCAGTTTTGTTACTACATAGAGTATTATAGCAAACCGTCGTCGTCGCTGTCGTGGTGTCTCGCCTTTTGTTGGGGAATAAAAAACGGCCGCGCGTCCCGACGTCGTCCCCCGGGAGAATTTTCTCCCGTCGAGCTGTCAAACGTCTGTAAAGTTTTTCTATCTAGCTTGAAAATACGGGGGAGCGGCGTGAACGGTTATAACGCGAATGCGAGCGTTTTCACTTTTCCCGGCGGCATGTATCGAGCAATGCGACATAAAATGCGAGACCTGCAGCAGACTTGGCGAGAACTCTACATATACATACAAACATACATATGTACGTATACGTATATATATATAATATATGTATACTTATATATATGTGTGGTATGCATATATACATATATATATAGTAAATGTTGAGAGACTTTACACACATAAAGAGCGCGAATGCGTGTGATTCGAAAGAGAGGTGTGCCAGCGCGTGTTCATGAATGTCAATAGCGTGAACAAACACGGGACATCGTTGTTTTCTCGTTGTTTGCGGCAAGAAGGGTATAATAGTAGAAAAATTTGACGCGGTGTCGCCGAAGCAGACTGAAAATTTGTACGATGGCGATGAACCTTTATACATACATAGAGAGATATACATATATATTAACATACATATGCGCGTACACGCGGACGGTAGGTTTAGATTCTTAAACATATTTGTAAGCGATCCATCACGACGTCTTATCTCTTTTTTTTTACTTTTATTACCGTCACAATTGCTACGTTAATGTTTGTTGATACCGATAAGAGTAATGCTACTGTTTCTATCATTACTTACTACCTTTTTACTATCGAGACGCTGTAATTAATACATAGATGAAAGATTATACTGCTGATTCTAAAGTTGACAGGGTGGAGGAAATAAGTAAATACATATATATCGTGTTATATCGATATATTGTTCCACCATCGAGATACTATTAAACACTATCGACCCTGGGTAAATTTGCGTGATTGTCAATGGAGATTCTAAGATTTGAAAGTGATAGAAAAGTCTCGGCATTACAGACTGTTAATATAAATTTTTCGACCATCTACATAAATATGTGAACAATTAGCTTATAATGTAGTATTAATTTATATTTTATTATTATACAGATGTAATTTATTTTTATAATTTATTATTGTATACAGATGCCTATCTACGGCGGTAACATCACATATGTAGTCGTAAAACTATATTTATTTCCATAATTATCACTCATATCTATAATCAAATATATATGGGCGATAACAATGAAAATAACAAAACGTAATTTTAAATAAAATCGAAGATGTACGTTCATTTTTATGAATAATCCAAGATAATAATACAAAAATAATATTATATTATAAGCTAATTGTCTAAGTGTCGGCAATCACGCAAATTTTCAAAAGATTGTCGATTTTTAATTTTTTTGGTATGAAGGATGCCTATAATCACCCGCCGCGAAATGTTCACTAGATACTTCGAGGAATACATGAAAACATTGTTATAAAAAATACACGAAATTCTCTGGCGCACGTTTAGTAGCTACGTGCTATTATTCATGCCCGGCTAGCGGAAACGCTTTTCTGCCGAAAGGATTGATTGGTATCTTGTTCGCGACGATACGCGATAAACGCGCGTGTGCAGATCGCGCGATGCTACACCTTCGAAAAGTTTGCACGCTATTCACGACGAACGTGGCGGCAATAAAAATAAAGGACTATGTCGATTATAAAATTTGTTGATTTCTCCGATATATCCGTGATATTACTCGTTATGAGAATAGGAATTCGAAATTAATGAGCGGTGTAATATTTCATTGTTTACTCTTTGTACATAGAGAACGTGTGTTGTGTATATTTGTGAGAGAAAGAGAGAGAGAGAGAGAGAGGAAGCGAAGGAGATACTGCTTATGTATATATGGATGAAATAAACATTTCATTCTTATATACATACATACCCGCAGACACACTTATATATGCGTATACATAATGATAATGATAGTAATAATAACGCGACGTTAAGTATTATTATTCCAATTATTATTACTATTATTATCGCGTAATGATTACTCTAATTATTTTAATTTTTATTATTGCTATTATTATAATAATATTATTATTATTATTCTCGCATGTACATTTTTAACGGACTGAACGAGACGCGCTGTATTTTTTGTACATGCACGCGAAAAAGGACGATATATTACGCTCAGTAAGGGAATCGCATTTAAGATTATATTCGCGTGAATCCATTTCGTTAACACTGATATCGTAGTGTGTTGTTATACTCCTTTCCTCTCCCGAGTTACACAGTCACGGAAAGCCAGTGTTTGTTATAAATAAGATAAATTAGATTAGATTATTGCAGTTATACATGCGGAGGACATGTATATCCGTCTGCGATTGTAACGCATGTCAGCCAATCAGCGAGTAATAATATTGTAAGGACAGTGAACTGGACGACTCCAGTGGCCAAGTAGGATCGCCGCAAGTATGGTGAATCTCTGATTTTAACCAAGACGAATATGATCGATGCATATCTCCGCGCGCGTACGAACGCGCGTTGTCTACACAATCTCGTTGCCGTTACGATCGATAGCTCGCTTTCGCTTTTATTAACCCGGTATCGCCGATCTCCTTATACGATAAACGATAGATCAGTTAGTCAGGAAATGAACGTTTCGAATTCGCCGCACTCGCCAAAGGACCTCGATGCCGCGAGTCACGATCACGGAGAATCGTCCAGTACACCAATAAACGCAATATCCACCAAGTGTTCATTGAGTTTGGTAAACGAGGCGAGAAGAGGGCAGGGCGGGAAGAGAGGGTTCGTGTACGACGAGGATCATTGCTTCCTAATTACGTGAGGCTGCAAGAGGAATGCAAGAGAACAAAGAAGAAGAGGAAGAGGAGGAAGAAAAAGCCGCGGGAACAACGTCACCGTGTAATATCGAGATAAACCGAGCCGGTTTAAGATATCCTCGGATTTTATGCAAAGCACGATTCGGGGCCGCTGTATATATTAGACAATTGGCCGTAAATGTTGAAAATCACGAGGCGAATATAAACGACTCGATAGAAAGCGTTTCTTGTTGAGCTGCAGACGATCAAATTTTTTTCCTTTAATTAATCTTTACGTTCAAACGACTTATCTCTTGGATTAGCCCGAAGATCAGGCGGGACTATATTGCAATGATCACGGTAATCTTAAACTGGCTCTCGCGACGAACAATGTTACGTATCCGAGAGGGAGCAGCATGATGAAGCAAATGTTGTATAAACAAAGATTTGGCTGTGTCAACGTCTGTTGATTTGTCTGTCGTTTCTTCATTTTATATCTTTAACGTCTGAATCGAAGCCTCTCGATGAAAATAAGGAAAGTGAGAGAAAGAGCGAGAGTAAAATCCAAGATGGAGTGAGATGCGCCGCGAATGAATTGAGAAAGAAAGATAAAGTGCGAAAGAAAACAGAATAAAAGAGAGAATATGCGGAGAAAGAGGAGCTTACGCTCATATCTTTATCGCACATTTAACGTTGAATGACAGCTAATTTTCGAAGGATCACTAAGATGACGATCTCTGTACGTTCCATATAAACAAAAATGCAATCGCATTTTCACGTTAAATTTGCGATGAAATGAGTTTTAGTGTTGAAGCGAAGTGGAAAAGGCTATTTCGGAGCCGTACATCGTTCACTGATCGAGCGATGAGTAGATGACATCCATAACAGCTCTACACGCCATTATCGATCGTCACGAATCGAAGTGATTAATTTTATTTCCATTCCCGCGATTAGTAAAAAACCGTGAACAAACGCGAAACAAAAATCGAGCGAACGCAATATCGACGAACAGAATGTAACTCCGCTTTTGCAGGCGGTTATAACGATCGTTCTCTACTCCCATGAGGAGATGCAGACGTGCGTCGAGGATGCAAAAGCGGAAGTCTCTTTCCTTTACCACCTCCAACGCTATTCTATCTACGCAGAAAAACGCACTTTTTGATCATGTAGACGTCTTTTCAAAATTTTGATATCCATATATATATACAATTACTATACAATGTACACCACTGACTGTTAATAATCCGCGCGACTGGACATTTGTATGCGTTTACAACTTTAGCAGCGAGCTCGGGCTGTGTGATCGATTACTCACACTCGGAACCGTATAAACTGCACGACTCACATTTTCTGCTGGATGCCGCAAAGTTGGACGGAGAACGCCTCGTCTAATTAATGCGCGACTACGATCGAGAGACGAGCGTATTTAAACCGACAGAAATTAACATATGCACATTAGTGCACCATCGTTTTTTCATGCGGACCAGAATAGATAATTGCAAGACAACCTTAATGGTCAACTTCTGTATGGCTGTTCGGAAAAGTGTACATCAATAGCGACAATTAGATTAGGAAGTGAAACTATTCTTCCATAGTGAAAATTTGATTTTAGGAATAAGATGATGCATGTAATTCTTTTATTGATTATAGAATTATTATTACTGATTAGAATTGAATAGAATTAAGATGTTTTATTGAAATCAACTTGCAAATATTTGTATTCAAATGTAATTCAAATACTTAAGTTTTATCAATTGAACTTATCCAATAAAGTGGATATTCTTTAAATTTTGGTTGAGATAAAATACATTTTAAATTATTTAGTGAAATGAAAGTTTAATATAAATTATATGAAGAAGTTGCTACTGTTATACATTCTTTTAGAACATCTATATACTCGTTTGTATAATGAAATATTACGAAAGTAAAAAGCGACTTTCGATTATTCGCGAGATCGGCGAATTTGGATATTACGATAGCTATATAATGTGTATGAAAAACTGATCGTGATTTATAGTAAAGCAACTACTTTTTTCCGCGAAACCTTCTTCATTTTATAGTCATGCGATCATTCTCATCTTAACATGACAACCACGCATACTTCATCCTCCTCGCCGCGAATAATTCGCACAATTCAGACTTTGGAATATATGCAAAAAAAAAATGTACATGCTTTTGCACTAAAACTTTATAAGACTGACGACTGATGTTTTTATATGAATATAATAAATGGCAGGATAAAGATTCCCAAATTAAAATTGCGTTTACATGTTTGTACGTTGTAAGATCGTGTGATAAGCTATGAAATTGTAGAGATTTCGACGATAATTATTTCCCTCCCGATGTGGTAGAGAAAGAAATTCAAATTTCAACTAATCACACAGCCAAACTTTTTCTATGAAGGCACGATAGTACACCGTTTGTTGAATTTCAACGGATAGATCAAAATCACTCTACATAAATGAAAATCGATGGTCGCACGCTGAACTTATATCCTCATCAATACTTTCCACCCGATAGAGATCTGTGTGTGTTTCGCGGAAAATAAAATTAGGGTGTCTCGAGCAAGACTATTTCGCTTTACAAAAATAGTGCCTTTTTTACAAAGACTCTGTTGTTTGTGCCAAGTCAAATCCAAAGGATCTGTAAGACACACTGCCAGTGTACAGACTGGGAACAAAGAGAAAAGGGTAAGAGATAGGAAGTGAGAAAGAGAGAGAGGGGGGAGGGGAAAGAAAGACGGAGAGAATGTAGACTGGAGTGCGCAAAGCGAGTGTGTGCTGCGAAGTTGTTAAACGGAAGACTGAGAATCAGCGTACGAAAAGTCACAACGCGGAACGGACTTAACTTTTTTTTTTTGTGTTAGGAAGGATCGCCGCGATATTATATAGGCAAAACTTTGGCGGACACGAAGACGAGCGCGGATTGAAAATAAGAGCCGAGACATTTTCGTGCGCACGCAACGCACGTACAAACGCACGCCCATACAATTTGTCGAGGAACTGTCCTCATTTTACAAAACTTACGAGAAAAATACCGGGACTAAAAAGAAATGCCAAAAGTGTTCGATTAATTCAATGCCGCCGTGGATCCTCGATTAGTATCGTATTATATAGAACGACGGAAACAAGTAATGTAAATGTGCTAAAGAGGTTTAATATATAATTTTAATTACGGTTGTACACATATATAAATCTTTATATATATATAAATATATATATGAAAAAAAATATATATATATGTGAACAGGCAAAAGCACCGTTCTTTTTATGGTGCTCGTTAATAAACGTGTTAACATCCAACACGGCATTGCACACCGAGTATATACTTGCACACACGTGTATATATATAATTATATATTATTTTACCCTCACGACGCAAACCAGACGTATATAACTCTATCCCTTCTG